GGATCTGTTGGCTTCTGAGATCAGGCGACTGATTCCCAGTTTGTCACTTGTTTCCTACCACCACCTTTCCTTCACCTATTCCACCGTCCATCCTGATCCACGAGGCTTTTCCAGTTTCCAAAATAGACAGCTGAACAGGAAAAAGGTGAGCTGGAATGATAGCTATTTTGTAAGGCTACATTTCGTGATTTTCAATCAACTGGCACCCTAAACTGCAAATTATCTTCTGAAAGTCACTTTGGTGAGCCTGTAATCAGTTAAAAGGCACTTTCCACCTCAGTTGTTCTGGTTGCCTGTTCCAAATTTTGTTCTACCTCTTGCACTAATGCCAGCACAAGCTTTTGCAGGTATGTGTAGTGACCTGGATCACCTGGCCTAAAATTGTTAACTTTACAAATTCATCTTCCCCTCCCTGACTGCACTACTGCTGTTTCTCTCCCTCTCTCAATTTTCAGGCAGATAGATTGTCAAAAGGCAACTAACCTGGAGTCACTTAAGATTTTTTACAGTGACTTCCCCATATCCTAACTACTATCCCTATGATCTGGTATATACCTTAGAAAAAATAAATATATTGTAGGGAAAATGGCTCTTCTATGACCACTTCAAACAAAGCACAACCTCAGGACACTTCCTGTTTTCAAAAACACTTCTTGTTGTGTTGTCTTAGAACTGTTTTAATGCCAACAGGAAGACATTATTTCCAAGCAGTTCACATGCAACTGAACCTGTTGTGTTTTTTTATGAATTAATAAAGCTTTATTCACCTGGAATGATCTTAACTTAATCAGATTATTTTTAATCATAATATATGCAAATGGTTACTTTTTTTACATGGTATATATATATGCAAATGGTTACTTTTTAACTTTTTTATGTCTTGCAATGAACATAATCCATTTACTACTTTAACAAAAACTAGTTTACTGGAGTTTTAATTACATGACCATCTGTTAGCTCTTTGCTGGTATTTATCCCTTCAATGGTCTTGAATGACATCCATATCACAGCATCAGAAAAAACTTCATCCTAAATAGAACTGTTGGGTTCACCGACACATTTAATAAGTGTATTCATACAATATTTAAATGTTCTATGGCAGAGAGCAAGCTTCTCAGTGGAAAACAGATGGCGAGCAGGTACTCTGTGCTGCTGCACTGCTGAGGAGACACATAATACTTACAGTGAAGAATGAGGTACCACAGAAACGGGCACACATGCCTCGAACAAAGCCTTCGTGGGCTTGTATCGTGCGGATGCACTGTCGTTTGGTCAAGTTCCAAATTTTAACCTGACAAAAACAAAAAGCAAATATTCTGTAAGCTTTCTACAGCCCACAGCTGCAGTTCACAATTCAAGTATAAGAAACCACACATGTTGTAATGAAATGGCAGAGTTGCTTGGACACGGGTCAGATTTGATCATGTTAAAAATTAATTATTTCTTTCTTGAAAATAATTTTAAAAGTGAGGTTCTTTCATTCCTACCCTCCCCCTGACTTAAGCTGTATACTTTCTGCATTTTGCACTCCCCTGTTTTTGAACTGGAATTCTTGCTAAATAACAGCAGCAGTTGCAAAATTGGCAAAAAAATACCCCTTTAAAGACAAAAGCACAAAGAAATTTGGAACCAACAGATTTTTTTTCTGTCCAGCTGCTGTACTACATTGTCTGTGGATGTCCACCTCTCACAGAGGTTTCTGTTTCAAAGCTTTTGGGCTCATTTAAAAACCAACAACAATGAAATTGAGGTCACTTTTTGTGTTTTTATGTATTTGTTTCAAAGCTTTTGGGCTCATTTAAAAACCAACAACAATGAAATGGAGGTCACTTTTTATGTTTTATGTATTAACAGTACCGAGTACTTTACTTGCTCTATCAATGGATAAGGAATTTGGGTAAGAACTTTCATAGAAATTTGTTCTACATCTCTCTTTTTCTGCTTTTTATACAAAGCGCACATGTCATACAGTAGTATAAGGTTATCCTCCCTTATACTACTGCATGACATGTGCACTTTGTACGAAATTTGGGTAAGAACTTTCATAGAAATTTGTTCCACATCTCTCTGAAAAGGTTAACCTCCCTTATACTACTGTATGATATGTGCACTTTGTATAAAAAGCAGAAAGACCTAGAAGACCTTTAAACTGCCCTTTAAAGTATTCAAGTACTATCAAATGAGCAATGTAAGGGTGAGAAAAAACAGGTAATTCATAAAAGACAGGCAGTTTTTTCTGCAACTAGTTCCAATTGTCCTTGATTGCTATTTACAATAGTTACTATCCAAGTACTATCAAATGAGCAATGTAAGGGTGAGAAAAAACAGGTAATTCATAAAAGACAGGCAGTTTTTTCTGCAACTAGTTCCAATTAAAGTATCCTTGATTGCTATTTACAAGTTATGTAAATCAAATATATACAGGGTTAGCCTTCTTTAGGCAGTATGAAACCCTGTTACTCAAAAAAATTTTTGGTTGTGTGCCCCTTCACCCTAGCTAATCTGGCAGTTTAACTTCTTTAGGGGAAGGAGTGGGGGGTCATGTAGGCAGCAAAAAGCAATCACAATGTGTATTGGGTTTGCATGGCCAGGTTTTGGTAGTGGGAGTCTACAGGGGTGGCTTGTGTGAGAAGCTGCTGGAATCTTCCTCCACATCCAGCAGAGCCAATTCCAGCCAGCTCCCACACAGACCCACCCCTGGCCAAGGCCAAGCTACTGAGAAATGGTGGTAACAACTCTGTGCTAGCACTTTTAAAAAGGAATAAAAGTTAGTGGGCAAATGTAACTGCATTCAGAGAAGAGAGGAGAGAGAATACATGAGAGAATAACTCTGCAGACACCAAGGTGAGGGAAGAAGGAGGAGAAAGCACTGAGGTTCCTCTGCAGCCTGTTGTGAAGACCATGGTGAGGGGCAGCAGTGCCCCGGTGTCCATGGAGGGGTTAATGGGAGTGCAGAGATCCACCTGCACCTGTGGAGAAGCTGAGGCCAGATGCACCCAAAGCAGGCTGTGATCCATGGCAAGCCCTTGCTGGAGCAGTCTCCTGCCAGGGACCTCAGGACCCATGGAGAGAGGAGCCCACACTGGAACAGGTTTCATAGGACTTGTGACCCTGTGGGGAACCCACACTGGAGCAGCCTCTACTTGAAGGGACTATACAAGGTGGAACAGTCATCCACAACTTGTGAAAAGCTGCAGCCTGTGGAAAGGACTCACACTGGAGAAGTCATGGAGAACTGCCTCCCACAGGAGGGACCCAGGGTGGAGCAGCAGAGCACCTCCTCTCCCTGAGCAGAGGCAGGAACAACTTGTAATGAACTGACTATAACCCCCTTCCCCCACTTCCCTGTGCTGCTGGGGAGGAGAAGGGAGAGCCTGGGAAGGAGGGAGGGGTGGGGGACAGGTAGTTTTAAGGTCTTATTTTACTTCTCGTTCTTCTGTTCTGAGTTTGTTAGCAATAAATTCAATTAATAACCCCAAGTTCAGTCTGATTTGTCCCTGGTGGTAATCACCAGGTGAGTGATCCCTCCCTATCCTTATCCCAGCCCATGAGCCTTTCACTACAGTTTGTCTCCCCAATTTGTCTCCCCTGTACAGTGGCAGAGTTACAGAGCAGCAAAAAGTTTCACCTTCCAAGTAGATGAAGGCAACACAGCAAACAGAGACAAAAAAATAAGGTGCGACAAAACCAACCAAACAACCCAACAAAACACAAAAGAGAAAAACAGAAATAAGAAAGATATGTTCTTTGTTGTGGTTTGTAAGCTTACCTCTCCATCACAAGCTCCAGACAGCACAGTAGACAAACTTTTTGGATGTTTGGCCATGCAATTAACTCCATCTCTGTGGCCATCAAGTGAACTAAGAAAGGGTTTTGCAAACACACGTTCTAGCTTGGTGGCATTCAGAGCTCTCACGTACTCTCGTGCAACCTCAAATGGATGCAATACAGGGTCATAGTTCCTTGGAACTGCAACAGAAAGAACACACATTAGGAACCCCTGCTGGAGCAGGTCCAGAGGAGAGATGAGCAGAGGGATGAACTACCTCTCCCGTGAGGAAAGGCTGTGAGAGCTGGGGTTGTTCAGCCTGGAGAAGAGACAGCTCCAGGCAAACCCCACTGTCTTAATGGGGGCTATGAGAAAGATGGGGACAGACTTTTTAGACAGTCTGTTATGACATAACAATGAGTAACACTTTTAAACTTAAAGAGGGTCAATTGACACTAGACAATAGTAAGAAGCTTTTCACAATGACTTGGCACACGCCCCATCAAGGTTCTGAGCAGCCTGATCAGCTGAAGATGTCCCTGCTCACCACAAGGCAGGGTGTGGTGAGTGGGACTAGAAAACCTTTAGAGTTCCCTTCCAAGCTACAAAACTCTGTGTGTAAAACCAACGCGTTTTTTGGCAGTTTTATCAATAAACGTGCAAGAAGCAGAACTCGACACACCAGGAACGAAACAGCATTAAGTGCAAAAAACTGCAAAGGGTAACTTAGGAAATACTAAGCGCCATCTCGGGGTACCAGAGCAGCGATTAACCCCCAGCCCCGCACTCCTGCAGTGACGCCGCTTCCAGAGCGGGCTGTGGCAGCTCCGGCCCCGCGGCCCGGCCCGGCACGGCCCGGCGCGCCTGCAGATCCCCGCCTGGGACCGGCACCCGCAGCGAGGGAAGCCCGAAGCCCCCTGCCCGAGCTCTCTCGCTGCCAGCGGGCAGCGGCGGACGGGACGGGACGGGAGGGGACCGGAGCGCAGCGGGACGCGGACGCCGGGCGCCCGAGCGCCTTCCTGCGCCGCCGGCCTCATGCCTGCCGTGCGGGCCGCGCCGTTTCCGGCCGTGCCGCGCCGTGCCGATGCCCGGTGCCGGTTCCCGGTGCCGGAGCCCCGCTCACCGCGCTGCAGGTCCAGCTTGGTGTCCCGCACGTAGTCATCGGGGTTGCGGCTCAGCACCTTCACCCGCATCCCGCCGCCGCCGCCGCGCGCACACGTGACCGGACGCGCCGCGCGGGCCCCGCGTGCGCGGCGCGTGAGCCGCTGCCGCGCGAGCCGGCGCTGCGCTCGGTGCTGCGGCACGTGCGGCTGGAGAACCTGGCGGCGGGAATGAGCGGCGGCGTGCTGGCCACCCTGGCGCTGCACCCGCTGGACCTCGTCAAGATCCGCTTCGCAGGTGAGGCCGGACCGCCCGCCCGCCCGCCGCCGTCCTCCGCTCAGGGCGCGCCGACGTGCCCGAGCTCGCCGAGCCCGGGCTCCCTGCCCGCAGCCCGCTGTCTCTGCCCCGGCTCCTTGCCCAAAGCCCGCACCGCTCTGCCCCGGCTCCCTGCCCCGAGCCCGCTCTCCCTGCCCCGGCTCCCTGCCCCAATCCCGCTCTCCCTGTCCCAGTCCCGCTCTCCCTGCCCCGAGCCCGCTCTCCCTGCCCCAGTCCCGCTCTCCCTGCCCCGAGCCCGCTCTCTCTGCCCCCGCTCCCTGCCCCAGTCCCGCTCTCCCTGCCCCGAGCCCCCGCCGCTCTGCCCGCCCCGGGCGCGGCTGCAGCCCCACGGCTGGGCATGAACCGCCGTAAGCCGAAAGGGACTTAGGTCTCCCATTCTCTTCCCCGCTATCCTAAAGCGGCTCCTTGTCACTTGTAGGGACTGTCAGGTGTGCGGGCAGGCCGGAGCGCTGCCAGCCTCTTCCCCCGCTGTTCCCCGGTGAGCGCCGGTGCGGAGGCAGCGCAGCCTGCCCCTTTCAGCAGGCGGGCTGCCCAAACCCACGTTCAAAGTTCACCTCTATGCCAGAGGTTTTCAACACTCCGAGCGTAGCGGTGGTTGTGGAATAGCCCTGGTTGTTAGCAGTAGTGGTGTTGTTTTGCAGAAAACTCTGTAACTGGTTTGTTTTTTCGCAGGGAAACATGGCAATTTCTCTTGACTTTTCTGCTGATTTGAGGAACTTGTCCATATCATGTTTTCTTTCAGAGAGGTTGAAACATTTTCCTGTGTCTTTGGGTTGTTTTCTTAAATAGATACATGGATGTTTTAAGATCTCAAAACCAAACTATCACAGGGACATTTTATGAAATTCAAAACGTTGTGAGTCCTAGTTGGGCACCTCCTGGGCTTCGTTATGAAAAGCACAGCCAGCAGAAGGGCTCTTTTCTCTCTGTTTTCCATTTGTGAGACTACATCAGAAGTACTGTGTTTACTATGGGGCTCTCCAGGACAAGGAAGGAAGACAATGACACACTGGTGTGACTTCAGTGGAAACCACTAGACTGGTGAAAGGGCTGGAGCACATGGCATAGAACAGGCTGACAGAACAGCATCCCTTTGGCTCAGAAGGGAAGGGCTGAGGGGAGCTAAAATTGCAGTCTATGACAATGTTATTGGAAGACACAGAGAAGTTAAAGCCAGATTCTTGGAGATAATAGGCTGAAAAGGAGCAGGCACAAGCGTGAACATGGAAAGTTCCAGTTATTTTACTGTGAGAATGGTTAAATACTGGAAAAGGTTACCCAGACAGGCTGTAATCTCTTCAGCCTTTGAAACATTCAGGAGTCAACTGGTCGTGTCCCTAAGTAGCCAGGTCTAATTAGATCTGATTTGAGTACAAGTTTGGATTAGGTGGCTTTTAGAGGTCACATACTTTCTCATGCTTCTTTGGGTTGAAAGTATCAATTCCTATGTTTTGTCTTCAACCAGGGAGCAGGAGCTGGTATCAGAAATTAATTCTGTGAAGATCCTTTGCAGCATCATTGACAGAAAGACTTGCATTCATATCTCTGATTTCCGATGTTGTTTAATATTTTTATAAACTTGATCTGGTGTCTGCATGGTAAAAAATTTCACAAATGTCTGTGGGAAAGGTCTAGCAACACTTATTCAGGGTGGAGAAAAGAGGTTGAGTGTTGTCAAGGTGTTGAGACGTTGTCACACTGTGCTCAGTGTCTTTAATGCTGAAGTCTGTCACAGTGTGTATGGGACACAGAGTTCAAGAGGAATTAATAATAAATGTGGCACAAACAGAAAATGCCTGTTTACCAGGATTAATTTTGATGGGCCCACAAAAACTACATTTGTAAAACTTTGAGATCAGTTTTCAGTACAGCTGCAGTCTAGCCATATGTTTGTAGGAAGGATGAAGCTGCTGCTCTGTTGGCAGCACAGAGTCATCTAGCTCAGAAGAGAGCTAAGGAGTTCACCCCCTAATCAGATAAGATCTGCTTAGATCACTTTGTTCAGTCTTGTATAATGGAGTTTTGAGTAACTCCAAAGATGCTCTTCAGACAACTTGTTCAAGTATTTGGCCATTCTGCTGGATAAAATGTTCTGGTCAAAATTCCCTGTATTTCAGCTTGTGTCTGTTACCTTTTGTCTTCTCACCATGGACTGCATCACATATCTCATCAGTAATCAACTTACTCCTTTGTTGTTATGGTAGGAGCAATAGTAGTTACCACTCCAAGTTTTGTGAACATCCATGTACTACATGATCTGTCAGACAAAAACTTGTGCGTTTTCTATGATTTTGAAGTGGTATTTTCTGAACATTTGGACAGCCAGCTGTTAGCTTATTAGGTGGGAGAAGGAACCTTTGAGTATTCTGATAAAAAATTACTTGGGAATCAGTAAGACATGACCCATTGCTTTATAGAACATTTTGAAGAGAAAATTTGAATTTAAGGGTTGTTACTTAGGACTTGTCTAAACAGCTTAGAGAAATACGTCAAGGATGCTATCTGTATCACTCGAAATATGCAAAATCACTGGAGTGCTAAAAAGAAGAGACAGAAAACTTCAGATCTGCTGCTCATCAAAAATGTACTAAAGTGAATTTGTTTAGCTTTGTCAGATTAATAGGAACTTTCCTCTTACTGAGCTAAATAGTTTCTCTCTTTTTTTATTTCTTTTTCCCGCTTTTTCCCCTAAGTTCTTGAATTCTAAGCTTATAAAGCTGTAAAGCCCAACTCTTGCATTCTTGTGAAATAACACTTGTGTAATACAGTTGATCAGTTACATTTCATGTTCATTTATTGCTTGCTTTAGAGGCTGTGGACTCCTGTGTTGGCTTGGAGGCAGTTGAACTTTATGCTTCCCAAAATGTTTTCCAATATAATTTCTTTCTTTCGTAGTAAGCGATGGGTTGGAGCTGAGGCCAAAGTACAATGGAATTCTTCACTGTATGAGCACAGTCTGGAAGCATGAAGGGCTTCGAGGCTTGTACCAAGGGGTGACTCCAAACATGGTGGGAGCAGGGGCCTCCTGGGGACTTTACTTCTTCTTGTAAGTAGAACTGTAAAATGTGTCACTGCCTGCACAATGTAGTGTTCAGATATACATTGCAGCTTCTTTGTGGGGTATAAAAATGTGCTAAGGGACTTACAAACTTGTAATTCTGTTAGCTAATCCAGGTTTGTTAACATTTGTTATGGTTTGCCATTTTAGAATTTAAGCAGTTTGAGTCAGAGACCTGTTCCTTTGTCAGCTACAGTGTATTCTCTTTATGCTGTGAAAATACTAAGGAATTTGAGAGGTGGTGATACTATTCATAAAGAATTCTCTAAAAGTGCCAATACACTGTTCTTAAAACCTTATGAAAAACAAGAACTTAAATTGATTTCTTAAAAGTTAAAGAGCATGAAGTTTTCTACTGAAACTAAATGCTTGATTGTTTTTAATCATTTTAGTGACAGTTTTTTCAATGTTTTTGTCAACTGATGGGCTTTGCTTTTAAAGACCATTTTTTAATATTCTACTACTCTGTTACTGCTTACAGTGCTCATCCCTATTAATTGAAACATTTTAGGGACTAGTTAGCTGGTATGCCTATGCAAAGCTCACTTATCAATTGTCTAGACTGTTATTGTTGTACTTCAGTCCTTAAGCTTTGCTGTAGACTGCTATTGACACTTCATCTTCTGTTGACAATTTCTTAATTCACAAAGATTGTAAACTGGATCAAAAGAAGAGTGTTCAGTGTATTTCTGAGCTAGAAGGTAGATACCTAGCACTGTGGGTCCCAATAAACTTATTTTAGAGTTACTTCTGGATATCTGGTAATTTTCAAGATGCAGTCCCATTGATATTGTCAGTTTAATTATACAATTTAAATATGTATTTCCATGGTTCACTTTAAAGAGCTAACTGCTCAGAGACAATTAATTGATTAAATAACAGTAGTTTGGATGCCTTTTCTTCAAAGGCTGTGTACCACCATGATTTTAAGCCAGGTATGTCACTCTGGATTGGATTTTTTGTGATGTAGGTCTGTTTTCACCTTCACTAAACTATGATGTACATTTTCCAGTTACAATGCCATCAAAGCTTATAAGAAGGAGGGGAAGATGGAAAGTCTCAGTGCGAGCGAACACCTGGTGTCAGCTGCAGAGGCTGGTGAGGTTAAATGCAAAAATTAATGTTCACTTGTAGCCTTTCCATATGCTGCTACCTGCCTTTCTGTGTCAGTGCAGCTTTTTCTTTTACAGGTGGCAAGTGTAAGTGTTCCAGCCCAGACGCAATAGTTTGTTGTCTGTAAATAAAACAAAGATGTCTAGGACAAATAGGTGGGTCACTGTGGTCCTTCAGTTTTGTGCAGAATTTATAGTTATGTCTTTTGTCCTGGTTTTCATTTTGTGTAAGTACTTTCCATATTTAGTACTGTATTGGGTCCAAAAGTGTAACTATAGAAATCTGCTGCTATCAGATTGTTAACTTCTTAAATGTTTACACTTGGACCTGGAAAGGAGGTTGCCTATTGAATCATGGAATGGTTTGGGTTGGAAGGGTTCTTAAAAATAATCTAGTTCCATCCCCCTGTCTTTGGCTGGGACACCTCCCACTAGACCAGGTTACTCAAAGCCCCATCCAGCCTGGCCTTGAACACTCCCAGAGGTGGAGTATCCACAGCTTCTCTGGGCAACCTGTTCCAGTGCCTCACCACTGTCACAGTAAAGAATTTCTGTCTCACACTTAATCTAAACCTGCTCTCTTTCAGTTTGAATATTGCCCCTTGTCCTGTTGCTGCGTGCTGTACAGGCAATTTGGAAGAGTTCATTAGGATTTTGAAGCATTCATTTAATGTTGAAATATAGGGCATATTGTTTGACATGAAATACAGTAATGGATTCTGCTACAATGGTATTTTCAATAACCTATAAAGCTATAACAGGTTCTTGCTATTAACCTGTCAAAATTATTAAGCAAATTTCACATCAGTGAGGTGTCCATTAAATTTTGAATTATTGTATACTGAAGAATAACTCAGATAATCAGTGGTGCATTAAGAAATTACATTTACTGTCTACTTCAGATTCTACTACTAACTGGAAAGGTGAAACAAAAAAGGGGCTGTACTAGGAATATGCAAAAATACATGTGCCCTGCAAAAGTACCACAGCAGGAGTGAATTGGACTTGACCATGAGCTTTGAAGGGAGAGAGAAGGAGCAGTGGAGGGCATAAACTTCACCTGTTTTGAACAATATGAATACTCTGTACCAGTACTTTTTCTGGTAGGAAAAGTAGTTTTGTCATTGTAGAAGCCTGTGTTATGTTGGACTGAACAAACTGGACAGTCTGTGGAGTTGGCATAGCAATGAGTGTAACTTCTGTGTGTCCTCAGGAGCCATGACCCTCTGCATCACAAACCCAATATGGGTAACTAAGACTCGACTTGTGCTGCAGTATAACGCTGGCGTGGATCCATCCAAGCGGCAGTACAGAGGAATGTTTGATGCTCTTATAAAGATATACAAGACAGAGGGCATACGTGGCTTATATAAGGTAATTACATTTCACAAAAATTCCATGATTGCCTGGCACCACCCAGTAGCATGGTGAGACTTCTACATATTTGTCTACAGAAAAAAAAATTGTAATAGCTCACTTTCATTCTGTCAGTCTTTCCCACTGAAGAACTGCAGCAAAAAGGCTTAGTCAGAAGAAAAACCATTATACTGGTGATAAACTGCTCTGTAATTTTTTTGAATCTTCCTATAATTAGAATTTGGATAAGCAGGACAGCAACAATGTAACCTATGTTGCTGGTAGTACTTCCTTGCATTTTATCCCTTATCTCTGTATTTCTAACCTCTTCTGGAAGATAACATGACTAAAGTACTTGCTAATTTTTACTTCTATAATGAATATAAACCATAATGGATAGTTTCACAACTGCTTACTTGCCCTCTAGTTATTGATGTCTGTAATCTGTCAGCTCTATATACAGATACATTCTAAATATGGTCTGCATATGTGTGGGGTTTTTGTTACCTTTAATTTAGGGAAACAGATGGCAACAAGATTTGGACTTTTTGCCTCCTCATTCCTTCAGGTCATGACATCAAGATGCATTCATCCGTGCCTGGAAGTTGTGAAGAAACTTATTTTAGTTCAGGCTGGCTCTTCTCCTGCAAGTAATGCTGCAAAATCATAGAATCACAGGATGGCTTGGATTGGAAGGGATCTTAAAGATATTCTTGTTCCAACACCCCTGTGATGGGCAGGTGTACCTTCCACTAGCCCAGACTGCTCAGAGCCCATCCAGCCTGGCCTTGAGCACTGCCAGGAACAGGGAACAAGACCACTTTCTCTTAGAAATTATCCTGATTACTGAACATTAGCTTATTTTATTTTCAGTGAAAAATATGATCCTTCCTATTCTGTAAGACTTGTGTGCTTCATGGCAATGAATGCCAAATTCTAACACCAGGAACAAGGCACCTTACTTATTCCTAAATTGAAATTGTCAGGATTTCTGGTTTGCCTGCCTGGATGTCTGCTCTGTTCCATGTAGATAAGTTCTGATTTCTTGGATCTGTTAGGTTTTAAGATATCCTTCCCCCTTCTTTTCAGATTATTCCTGCGTGTAGCATGTGTCGCCTTTGGCACTAGACACTTCTTTGTAGTGTTAATCTGCAAGTGTGGGACTAAAGCAGCTACTTCCTTTGAAAGAGCAAATTACTTGGTTAAATCTGCAAAGAAGGTGACCTAAATAGGTCCTAAGTGACCTACATAAGTATTCACACTGAGCAACTTCCATTTGACATCAGGACTCTCTCAACCTTGTCTATACTGGGGGAAAAGGCACCTCTTCAGATGGCTCTTTGACTTGTACATGCTTTAGCCTTCCTCCATTTCAGTGTTTCAGGAAGCTTTTCTTTTTCTTGTTCTCTTTGAAATTGTAGAGCTAAAGCTTTATTTTTGCCCTGGGTCAGGAGTTGCAGTACACACAATTGTCTTCTTTTTCCTCATAATCTTCATTGCAGATAGCATTTCTTATAGCAAATAAGGGGATCTCAGTACCACCCTATAGTAAATGAAGGGATCTCAAATAGAGCAACTGTCTCAAGATAGAATGGGAAATAAAATCTGGAAGGAGTTTATGTTTGAGATTTGTCTTCTAAAGAATGGTATTTCTGACCAAGCAATTTGATGTGGCTCTTTATTGCATAGATGCTGTTACTGATCTGAGCAAATCCTTTCAGTCCTTTGAGGGACAAACTGGTACTGTCAGGCTACATCAGTCTTTCTAGCAGGGATCAAAGCTGTCTTTATTAGCTCTGCTGGGTATTGATTGTTCATCAAATATAGTTTGCCTGAATCTGGGTTTCTCAGTAAGTTGCTCCTCTTGAACTTGGCCTGGTTTTGAAAAGGCAGGAGGAGTCTCCTTTGCTCATTATCCCCAGTACTCATCCAGTCAGTGATCCACACCCTCCATCCACTGGGCTTTGTCTTTTGATCCCCTGACTGGGGACAGAGCTGCTCTGCTGCACACCAGGCTGAATTTTAAAACAGGTTGGGGTTATGTGCTTTGGGTACACCCATGGATCTGCTGGAGATTTGAGCTGTAAAAATTGCTTTGCCATTAATGGAAGTCATGCAACCATCTTCATGTTATGAGTGCTGTGTTGTTCTTTTCAAGCATAAGGTAGGAGTGCCCAAACATGGTAAAATAGTTGTAAGATTGTAGGGTTGGTGCTTTTTAGGAAAACATAAAATATCTCTGAGCTGTTGAGAAACTGTTAGATGTATAGTCTGGAGAGACTGACTGCTGAGACACCAGTCAGGAATGCAACCAACATCCTTCATGGCCTCCATATTTCTGTATGTGCATTTTTTACTCTCCTTTGTTGATGATATAGAAGCAGCAGTTGGAAATAGTGCAATGCTTGATAAAATGCTTAATAAAAGAGTAAAATACACAGGAAATGTATAAAATTTAAGGAGATTAAAGTAAAATCCAGGTTCATCAAGACTGAGAATAATAATGTAGCATGCTGACAACAACAACAGTCATAACAGTAATGTGTGCTCGTTACCAGGTGAAATATATTTGGACACTTCTGTGTGGGCATTTCACTTTTGGTAGGCAAGATTCTGTGCTCTGAGGATAAAGTACTTTTCCTGGTCCCTCAATGGCTAAGGCACTTAGCTCTCTTTATTTTGCAATGATTTTGCTTCTGTTATTTTTCTTCTTGTAGTAAATATGAAACTTGTAAGCTTTGTATATCTTTGTACTTGTACATAGCAAAATCCATTGAGACTTGGCCATTTTGATTTTCACTTAAGTTGCAGGTTCTACACAGAGACATAAGCAAAAGTGGCTTTCGTGTAAAAGATGGTAACATTTTTCACCATGAGGGAATGAAGATGATCATGGCAATTTCAGTGTCTTGTCTGCACAAGGTGTCAGAGCAGGGCACTGAGATGCTGCAGGTCTTGGACACACTGAGAGCCCAAATGAAGGCAGCACTGGAGATTACATGGGGTATTTGCTGCATTCTTTTGAAACAGACAGCAGAGGCTGTTCTGGCCTGAGTGCTGTCAGACACTTCAGGCAGTGATGTGAGTACCACTTCACCAGATGAGCCTTGTTCCCTTCTTTACTAAGAAGCACAGGTTTTCCAGTGTGTACATTTGCCTGTGTTTCTTTTTATTGTGATGGCTAGCCTTTGAAACACCAACCATCAGGACAGTTTCTCCTTGTCATGGATTTTCAGCACTTAAAACACTTTAAGCCAACTTTAAAATATTTCTTTATTCCCACTATCTGCTGCTCAGAATTATATGCCATTTAAATTTCTAATTATAGAATATAAATATAGAACTATAATTAATTCTGTCTATTGTTCTAATCCTCTGAAAGAGAATTCAAGCAGGACTTCTTTGAGGAACCATTCGTTTTGTCATGCCTTCATGGCAAAAATCTTCTAAAGATATATTTCAAATATTAAAGTAAAAAATAACAAGAAATACATGAAGTTATTATAAAATTTCTCTTTACAGTAATATTGTGGATTAAAATAAATATTAAATTCTATCAAATTTAGTGGCAAGAAAGAATTTTGAATTAAATTATTCTAAGAATAAGAAAATAGAATATGTTTCAAAAACTTCCCCGGCCAAGATATTTCAGTGCTGTGAAGAAATCAGTTTTGCTTTGAAACATTTTTCCATAAGAACACATTGTTTTCTATGATCAATAAAAGCCTGGGTCAGCTCCTATTTTACTGAGGCACATTGGCTGACAGTTGCCTCACTCCCTTCTTGCATTTTTTAGTATTGGCCCAAGATTAAAGGTCCCTCAGTCTTTGGAAGCTCAGCACAGGACCTTAAGCATGCTGGTTTTTGTGTATGAAGTACTACCAGTGGATGCTTTAGGACTCAAGGGTGCAAGTTATCCAAGTCTTCTGGCTTAAGTTTAAGAGTTTAGCTCTCTTTAAGGTTGTTTAACATTCTTCTTTTGTTGGCAGGGAAAGTATTACCTCATTTTTCTATGATATAAATACATTGTTCTAATTCTTTCCAAGTGGAGAACAATTACTTCCACTGTCTTTTAGTTGTTTTACTGATTAATCACTGGGAAATGTTTGTGAAGATTTTCCCTGCTATCACTGTCCATAAGTTTCATAATGGGTTTTGGTTGGTTTCTTTTGCTGACCCAGATTTATTTTTTTTTTATATTTTTGCCCAATTTTTTTCCCGCTCCTGTTTTTATAATGCTTTTATTTTTTTGTCTGAGGCAGGATTTCTGAAAACCAGAGTTGTCTTTTTCCCTCTGTTGGGGCCCTTTGGCTTCAAACTTCACTTTGTGCTTACAGCTGACAAAACAGAGATATGTGGTTTAATTCCACTTGTTCTCATTTGGGGAAGGTTTTTTTTCTGGGACTTTCATTAGCCCTTAATGCATTTCATCAGTTTGTGGTCACTGATGGTGAGTTCATGACCATTATTTCTTACTGTGAGAAGAAATTTATCCTCATGTATTAAAGAAATCCTAAAAAATCATTTCCTGAATGACTGAAAAACTTTAGAAATCTATATGTAGCATTTGGAAGGCTGATCCCTGAAGTGGTATTTTGTGTATTACCCATGGAATTTTTATGCCTGCTGTAGTTTTAGTTGTTGGGGGTTTTCTGCAATTTATGAGTTTTATTGTTTTGTCTTGTCAACACCAATTCAGTGGACTCCTTCAGAGATCTATTCTCCTTTTCACCTTCTCCAGGCTTTTAATCATATTCTGATAAGTCTTCAACATTTTGGGCTTCCCTTTTAGTGTAACACAGTTTGGCATCTGAGCACATTTTTAAATTCCTTTTTCTTGCCTGAATGGATCATAGGAAATAAAACTGTTGTTTTGTTTTGGTGTTGTTTTTTTTTTTTTTTAACTTTGGTTCTCTGTTTTAACCACATTTTGTTCATGCCTGAATGGATCATAGGAAATAAAACTGTTGTTTTGTTTTGGTGTTGTTTTCTTTTTTTTTAACTTTGGTTCTCTGAGTGCTTTTAACCACATTTTGTTCACTTATAATTGTACCCCAACAGTTTGCAGCAAGCTTTTGAGTCCCTTTCTGTCCAAGATGATTAATCCTCCATTTATTTGTGGTTTTCAATGTAAATGATCAACTCTTCAAAAAGAATTAGTGCTTTACAGAGCTCCTGCAGCTGGCAGCTCATTTTAATGGAGCTAGTCCTGCTCCTGGGGGAACGCCTGTCTTCTCTTTCTTGTGGAGACAGTTCAGACAGTACCTGTTTTCCCCCTTCATTTCAACTTTTTTGAACCTAAAGGTTGATGTGTAATTTCATGTGTTTGTGTAAGAAATACAGTGCTGGAGCAGCTCACTCTCATCTGCCACAGGGACATGGTATGGTGGTGGGCCTGGCAGTGTCAGGTTTATGGTTAGGTTTGATAATCCTAAAGATGTTTTCCAACTCAAATGATTCTATGATACTATATAGACACAAACATTTTTAGTATAGAAATATATATATCTCATAGACACACATTTTTTTAGAGACAAACATGCAAGCACATGCATATCTATTTCCTGGGCTCAATCACAATAATGTTTTGTACCTCTGCTCCTGGTGGCTCTTCTCTGAGTTGCCAGCATCTGTTACTAGTCTCAGGTGGGAGCCAGACCCCTCAGTGCCAGTCTCTGGAAGTGTGCACTGAGCAGCACATTTGCAAGACCACAGCTTGATTTGTGACCTTGCAATCCTAATCTGTGTTACCAGCTTGTGCTCTGTGAGGTGGAGTCCCTGGGCCACTTGTTTTATCTCAGTGACTCAGTGGGTGACTTTAGGCTGTGTGTCAAAAAGTAGCATTTATTTATCAAGTGTTGGTGTGATGCCTGCCTTAAGGATACCTGAGTCAGACTGCAGCTGCTGTGCAGCACAGTCTGTACATTAAGGGAGGACAAATGTAGGGGTGTGAGCTGTGCTCTCAAGTTGTTTAGGTTTTGTGCATTACCCTTTAACCATATTTTACCCTTTTTTTAGGGATTTGTGCCTGGCCTGTTTGGAACATCACATGGAGCACTTCAGTTCATGGCCTACGAGGATTTGAAAGAGAGATACAACAAGTATAGAAACAGAGTATCAGATACAAAATTGGTAGGATGCTTGAGAATAAAATTATGTTGTGGCATGTAAATAAATACAAGTGGATTCCATTTATCAGGTTATACAGCAGCCAAATGTACAAAGTATTGGTACATTAATTGAGTGCAGAATATATAGAAGGAGATAATACTTTTTCACTTTTTAGGAACAAGCAACTGGTTTTCACTGGTTTTGAAAACCAACTTCTTCTTTTGGCAAGTGTTTTGAGAATTTTAGAGGATGGAATGAGGGTTTTTCCTTATTTTGTGGAGCCAGAGGGGGTGGTATTAAACCCTGGAAAACTGTTCGGGTGCAAGTTGGGCAAAGGTAGCTACTTTTGGAAGAAGTGTTTCTCTTGATGGGAATGAGAAGGCACAACACATGTTTTACAGTCCATTACTTGTAGCACTGCATGTAGTAAGCACTGACATTTCTCTTAATGTGTTGTATTATAAGAGGGAAAAATCTAGAGTATTGTTTGATTGTACATTTAACAATCAAATAAGATTTTTGGTATTTAAACCATACCTAAGGCAAGCCTGACCATTTTTGTTGCTTTTAGAACACTGTGGAATACATAATGATGGCAGCTGTATCCAAAATATTTGCTGTGGTAGCAACATATCCCTATCAAGTTGTGCGAGCTCGTCTTCAAGACCAGCATAACACATATTCCGGGGTGTTGGACGTGATCCGCAGGACGTGGAGGTAGGTGTGCAAAATTAAAGGCCTGCATGTTGGAAGCTGAGTTTTACAGAATCAGAGCTACCTTTACTGGCTTCTGTGCTGACTTGCAGAACCAGTACAGTTCAGAGCAAACAAAGTGTTAGTTGTACAAAGTCATGTTGTGCAAGATGCCACCAACAGCAGTAAGCCAAGGAGAAAGGAGGAGATGGGAGAGAGTCAATGCCCCCTGAGGTTTCTGCTGTTTGTCTGTCTCCCTTCTCTCTTCTCCAGCAAATTTCACAGGCTAAAAAATAACATTGTCATGGCTGGTTTGGGACACTAAATGAAGTCTCACTTGAACTGCTTTGGGTTATCACATAGGACAGGAGCATTGTGCTGCTGGGAGTTGTGGCTAATCCAAATTCCTGGCAAGGTGAGGTGAGCTAGCCAGAGCTGCTTATACTGATGTCCCTGGGTTACCCTGGGGCCTGACTGCACTGCTAGTCTGGTCCCAGCTTCCTGTAGGACCTTGAGAGACCTGTGACCTCACACCTATTCATATCTTCTCACAAACCTTCCTGAGCTCTTCCTGAGCTGCACAGTGCAGGGCAGAGTTTTCACACAGCCCTGTGTGGTTACTAGGGGTGGCCACCTCTGCATGTGCATCCGTGGCTTTGGGCAGTGCTTCTGGCTTGGCCCACATTGCTGGAGAGCTGGGGATGGGCTCCTGGGCTGTGAAGAGGGGCCAGCTCAGTAGGTGACTGAGGCTCTGTTGTTCCAGGAGCACCCCTGGTTCAGAGGCTGTGCAACCATTTTGACTGGAGGCAATTCAGAGCCAAAGTAGCTCTGATGTGTCAGTGCTGAGCCCTTCAGTGCTGCAGGCTCCAGGAAGGCTTCTGGTTCTGGTGGAGTGGAGTGCAGCCATTCTGGAGCCACTGCTGAGCTCATGATGAAACAAATGGGACTTAGGGAGGGTTGTGTAAACCACACCCAAACATTTCTCAGGATCTCTGTTTTCTCATCCTTCAAGGTGTCCTATGCCTGTGAGGCCTGCACCTAAAGAGCTGGGATTTAATGTCTCTAAAACTTTTTAACAGCCCTAGCATGACACACTGATTCAAATTGGGTGCAATTAGATTCCCATTTATTGGCCAGTAAAATCAAAATTCTGGAAGGGGTGCTTAAATTCTCAAAAAGTGAATGCTGGCTTTTCTTAGTTGTTTAGCCAGTTTTTGTAGCATGAAGAAAGATGGTAAATTGCCTTACTTGGACAATACCCACAAAAAACACTCAAATCCTAGGCTAAATAACTGATCTACATAATGCTATTATATGTTCAGAAGAAAAAAATAATGTGTTAATACTTGGTGCACTTTAAACACTGTCTGAAATTGTTATTTCTAAGCTGAAGTACACCTCTCAATGGGAGTGTGAGAAATAAAATGCAGGGCTTTGTTTTATGTCTGATTTTTTTCTATTAAAAGACATTAATTAAAACTTTTTTTTGTTTGTTTTTAAAGGAAAGAAGGTGTTCATGGATTTTACAAAGGAATTATACCTAATGTAATCAGAGTGACTCCTGCCTGCTGTATTACCTTTGTAGTTTATGAAAATGTGTCTGGCTTTTTACTTGGTTTTAGGAAAGAAAATAATTAAAGGTATGAACTTGAAAATAATTAAATGTATGATTCCTAGGAAGGAATCTATCCTTTATTTTTTATATTTATGATCTGGGAGAAATTTAGTTCAGCAGTCTTCATTGACACTGTGACTTGATCTGTTATTTTGAGGAAAGAATGTAGAGACAATAAACCCTGCCAACATCTCTCCTGCTGAATGCTCCTGCATTGCTGCCTTCCTCTCTGAGTCAGCTGTGCCTGCTTGAGGCAGATGTCTGCAACTGTGAAATAAGAGTGCTGTGACTGGGTGAAGGCAGCTGCACAGCAATCCATTCATTCTGGCCTGCCTGGAATAACCCACTAAGCAGTTTCAACAAGTCTCAAGATAACAGTTGGTGAGATTCTGCTCCTGCACAAGTGGAAAACTTCATATGAAAACAGCCTGGGGGCCTGTCAAAACTTTCACAAATCTCTGAGTCTCATTAAAACAAGGAATGTCATCTGAATCCACCTCTGTGTTATTCATCAGATTTTAGGATATGGAATGCTCCAGACTCCATTGTTCATCCAACACAAAAATGCTGCCTCAGTGGGGTGCAGTTTGGAAACTGAAATTGTTTTTTTAAAACAGCTGTCCGTTCTTGGGTTTGAATAATTTCAAGTCTGGGGAAGCTCAGTTCTTGTCTCATACCAGGCCAGACTTGCACTGTGGTTTTTGACTTGGGTTTAGCAGCAGACTGATGTGCTAAAAGTGCATGCATTGCTGGCCACTTAATTCATTTTCTCTCTTTCATTCTCTCTCCATCTCCCTCTGTGCCAGAGTCTGTCTCCATTAATGATACAGCTGACCAAATATTACTAACAAAATGAATATTTGAAAGTGGGCTTACATTTTAAAGATGAGGATTTTTTTCTAGTAATCCCATAGTGGTGCAGTGTTCAAGCCAGTGTAGTAACCAATAGGACCACATTTACTTTGTTATATTCTCTGGAAAAAAAAAGTGTTTCTAGTCTAAAACAATCCTGTGCACAGGACTTTCTTAAAAAAAAAAAAAAAACAGAACAATCTGTTAATGTCTTCTGATTTGGTTTAAGGAAAAGGTTGTTAATATATTGATTGCTAATTTACTGAGAAATTAAATTCCCTTCTCAGTAAATTTGTATAATAATAATTATGAGTTTTTTCCACACCAATAATTGCCGTCAAGGATATGTACTTTTTAGAGTTCTGAGTTTGGTGGGTTTGGGTTTTTTACTTCTTTAAGAAAAGACATTACTGACCCTAACATCTGCCTCTTGCTGTTGGTAAGAAGATATTAAGTATCTAGTATATATAATTTAACTAGGAAATAAGTTAGCAAAGGCTATCCAACAGTTAGGGAGAAATCATCAGTTTCCTAGGGAGCAGAATAATCACTTTGAGAAGTTTCCTGTTTACCAGACTAACCTAAAGCAGAAAGAACCATTTTTAATAAATATTTAACAGAGTAGGGACTTAGTTTAAATTGTAACCTAAAAACTGGAAAGCTATTTTGGATCTTCTTTCTTGGATCCACTTGCTTGTTTTTGTAGCTACTGTTGCCACATACCACATTTTGTGTATAACTAAATTTATTAATAATTTACACTTTGTCTTCCACAATCCCATCTCCTCTACTGATAGAGTTGATAATCTCATTGGAAAGAATAATCTCATCTGGGGCCAGCATGGCTGGCTTTGGTTTTTATTACGGAAGGTTCTGTGTGTATTTAGCTGAAGATAAATTTACTGGAGTTTACCATGTAAATAATGTAGATCCAAACCAGCAGCCTCTGCCTTTGGAGGGTGCTTACTGGGCTTTGTGTGTTTTGTGGTACACAGAATGAATTTAATGGAACACTGAGTTCACTCTACCACCCAGGGTCCAAAATATATTGTGAAGACATATGAAAACATCATAAAAGAGAAAAAGCTGTGCATGTACCACCCTGGGTTAGTGTTCTCTGGGTCCAGAACAGCTTCCTGTGCTTCAGGATAACTGCAAGGGCAGGCTGTGAGCATGTGCACAATCACTCCCTGTGTGTGTTAGCTGACGTTCTGTAAGTTCACACCACAGCTCAGCTCATAGTAACTTGTTTGTGTTCAGGTACCTTAAAACCATCGTCCAAGCCAGTGAAAACATTGCAGTTCTGCAGAGACAAAACACCAGCTGTGTAACTTGCTGGCTTGCAGCAAATCTCCCACACCATCTTGCAGTTGGGCAAGCCCAAGTGCTCCCCTCACTGCAGGTGTCCTCCCCTGGTATCTGCAACAACAGCTACAGGCAAGAGCTACCCATGTGAGAGGTGCCTGGGGAAATCTTACAGCTTGTTCAGAAAAGAAAATTAGATTTAATTATAAATAGCTGAAATAAATTCATTATCTCAGATTTAATGGGGTTTTTTTCCTTTTAATTTCTAGGAAGAGTGGAGATTTTTGCATGTTGTACATGCTTTTCATGAGTTCTTTATTTCATTAATGTAAAATTGGTTTTGTAATACAAACATGACTGTTGTTTCTCTTTAGAATGTGTGCAGTTTTAAAAAATATTTGAGTATGTCACTTGCAGCCTTTGGAAGAAAATATTTAAAACACTGAAGCTTGTGGTCTGTTGGCATGATCAGTGTTGTCACTTGACAAACAGCTGGGACATCATTGTTTCACTTTACAAGGTCAATTTTGGAAAGCCTAGGCATTTCAACCTGTGTTATGTCTGTATCTTCTAAACTGCTTAATATATCTAGCTTTTAACCAATACCAAAGTGATTCTGTATAACTGAAAGGCTAAATCCAGGAGAATTATTTTATTGGAGCAATGAAATTAAGTGTTGTAACTGTAAAATTATTTAGTGTCTGCATCTTAGTAGTGGAGACCAGTCATAGATATTAGACTGAAATCCAGCCTATTGAGAAGCAAGAGAGGGAAGAAGAGCTCTGACAGTCTGGTTTTGCTCAGTTGTTCATGATGAGCTATTTAACACTTACCATGTTGTCTGACAGTTAAGTCACCAGGAGTTCCTTGAGACAAGACTGTAACAGCAGAGCATCGTATTCTGCAGTGAAGTGTACAGGAGTGCATTTAATCTTTGTTTTCTGAAGGCTAAAGCCTGATTTTACTTTCTTAGAACTTTATCTGTAAAGCCTTCTAAAAAAATCGTGTATCATAACACCATGTAAAATACCTTAAAACAGATTAATGTTCAATAAAATAACCTGGCTTTCTTTTTTGTAAAAGGTCTTATTTATTTGATACAAAAAGTTATGGTTAATTCTAAAAACAGTGGTGGTATTACATCAAAAAAGAAATTAAAATGTTAATGAACTTGGTTTTGATATTTGTATTCTAAAATTATTATTATAAAAACCCTCTGCCATGTGCAGAACAAGACAAAGGCTATAGATGCAAGGCTTTGGTGCCTTTCAGTCCAGTACTTGCATCCAGCTCTATTGAAATAAATTGTGAAAAAAATAGTACAAAATTTTAAAAAAAGGTATTATAAAAAGGGAGGGAGGTCATTTTGGCAGTTCTTCAATGATGATTCGGGAGACTGAATTCCATCCAGTAGAAGCATCTCCCCGTGGATAATCTGAGCACGTCCCAACCCAGATGGCAATATCCACCAAGCCAGCATTGATCCCTTCACACAGACCTTCCACTGGTTAAAGACAAAATTCAGGTTACCTCAGCAGACACAATCCCTTCGTATTTCACAAATGAAGGTGGACTCATGTACTTAAGAACGGCAGCTTGCTGCAAGCTTGTGCTATTTAGTTAAATGTAAAAAGTTCTTAGAATTTTAAAACAATTTCAGAAATAAAAACTATTATGTGGAAGTGTGGCAACATCAGTAATAGCCATGCAGTGCCTCTGTCTGTGCTGCTGATTGACACTCATTGCAGTACCTGAAGCAGATCACCAGCCACATGATGCCTAAATGGGAGGTATACTGCTGCTTTAAATACCCAAATTTACACACTGGGAGCTGGAATATGGCTTCATACCCTTGCAGACACCTTCCTAGCAGTGATGGGGGCACAGCCATGCCTGGTTTACAGCTCGGCTCTGTAAAGGTGATTGCCACCCTATAAGCTTTTCCACACTTTTCCACACTGCTTCTGCATGCAGTTGCCCTCTTGATACCCCTCTGGCACCACTGGATGGAGGGGGGGTAATGAAGACGAGTCACCTCTACCCCTATGCTGAAAAAATCCTATTACAGTTCTAGACATTAGGTTTCATGTAGTCATGCAGTACAGGGAGGAAAATGGAGACACAGACTTTACATTCCTTTTTCTAAGTATCACTAAGTGGATGAACTCACTAATTTGCCTCTGCTAAGCAAATGAGTAATTGCTCCCAGATATTTCACTTTGGAGGCACTTTTGCGCCCCACCTGAAATCAGAGTACAAATTGCAGGAGGAAAGTCTCATTTTTGCACAGGTAATGTGCAAATACCAGTATTTTAAGCCAGGATGACACTGTCTACTTGGCAGTAAGGCTGCTTCTCCACAGGTTAATACAGCACAAAATGTCTCTATAATCATGTTGTGGCAGAGATCAGTAGACCTGTCTGGACAGAAATCTCTTCCATTTCTAAAACTCAGGATATAAGTACCACGAAAGGTACCACAGCAAGAAAGTACCACTTAATAAATAATTATAATACTGTTACTTATCAATAGCCCACTCTGAGACAGCAGATTAAGAGAACAAGTGAGGTGGTCATTCTGTGTTTGCTGCTGCTGCCTTCTGCTCCATCTCCGCTCTCCCGGCATACATACCTGAGGAAGTTCTGTGTATGTTAATAGTAGAATTCAGCTCTGGGCTTCCTTGATCTAGGTATATTATGGCTTCAATCGGCAGGGGGCCAGCGCACTCTGCCCCGTTGAAGGTGAAGTACCAGCGCTGGCAGCAGGCGCTCCTGCACTTGAGCCGCAGGGAGCCGCTGAAGAGCACGCGGAGCGCGCTGTTGGAGCGCATCTTGGTGAACGTGCATTCCTGACAGAGACAAAGGTGCTTCGGTACAAACCTCTGCGCTTGAGCCCGTTCTTTTTCTATAGGTTTATATTTAGGACACCGATTTAGGAATATATTTATTTCAAAATGTTTTGGCTATTCTCTTTAGGCCCCTCTGAGGGGAAAAAATAATTACAGCCTGGGAAATGCCTTGTGGTGCAAAGATGCAAATCAGAGCAGCACCACATAGATGGTAAAGGAGAAACGGATTATGGAAATTCTTAACTTTATTGAGATAACACCTGCTGTTAAGTTGGTAGCCTAGTTACCTTCTGGGATTTATGTAAAGGGATATAAGCTCTCTGAAATCTGCACTCAAGCCACAGAATCACGCAATTATAAGGAATGGAAGGGACCTCTGAAGATCATCTAGTCCAACTCCCAAAGTCCTTGCATGACCAGACAGCACAGTTTCTGTCTCTGCTAACAGAAATGCTGGACTTAACGATTATCACAAGACTTCTGAGCAGTTTATACCCAATAAAAGCTACAGAACTGAAAAATAAATACTTTCAGGTTTTTAAGTGATTGTTAACCTGTCTTCAAAATGCTTGATATCATGGGGAAAAAAAAAGAAATGAAAGGGGGGAAAAAAAAAGCTAGGGACAGTTGTGCAAGTACAAGGCAGGCAGTAAGAAAAGTCTACTGAAAAAGTTGATTCTCCCCCTAGCCACAGCACAGCAGTTAAACTGCTATAATCATTCTGGGCTTTGCTTCATAGCTGGGATTGAGCAGGGATTTTTTCTAAAAGTTTTACACCCAGGGCTGCAGTGTAGAACAGACTGTGTCAGTCTAGACTATAATCATTCTGGGCTTTGCTTCATAGCTGGGATTGAGCAGGCATTTTTTCTAAAATTTTACACCCAGGGCTGCAGTGTAGGACAGACTGTGTCAGTCTAGGTGACACTGGCAATTCTGCTCCTGAGCAATGCTGATCCTTTGCAGTAGCATCCTGCAACTGCAACTGTGTTTCAGTGAATAACCACTATGAAGCAAGAGTTATAAAGATGAGTACAATTAACAGATTAAAGATGTTCATCCCTTCTTAGGATTGAAATGGTAAAAACCTTGCTCTGTTTTGGGCAAGCTAGAGGTACTTTTTTGGTACTGTGATTTTCAGCCTTACAGTTACAGATGTGGTCTACTGAACATACTCTTACACCAGTTACAAAATTCTTCCGAAACCCTGTTCCAGGAATGAAACAGGCACATAGCTGACACACAGCTGAGAGCAACCCAAAGCAGCTAATCCTTTGAGAAGTTCACCCTTGCATGCAGAAAAAGGCCCCAGCAGGAGCTCTGTGGGGCTGGTGCTGCCCAGCCCCCAGCGCAGCCCTAAGCCCGCCGTGTTGGTGCAGCCCTCGGTGCAGAGCCAGCTTACCGCGATCTTGCCCAGGTCGATGCCGTAATTCAGCGCGCTCCACGAGCACTGCTTGAAGTTGGGTGTCCAGGACTCCTCGATGCTCTCACGCATGCACTCGCCCTTCTCCCCTTTCAGCCCGTCCCGTCCCGGGATCCCAGGTGTCCCAGGGATCCCGTTGGCTCCTGGGTTTCCATCCCGTCCAGGAACGCCACTGGGGCCTTGTAAGCACATGCCATTGTACTGGAAGACAGAACAGACCTTGCTGCTTCCATCCCTCAACTCCGAGGCTAACCAAGTCAAACACAAGTGAATAACAAAACACAAACCCCCTCCTGTGCCACAATGGGCTATTTCTGCATCTCCGAGGAAATGGTTCCACAGAAGGAAAAAAAGAATGGAAGAATAAGTTTTCAAAGTTTTTCTGCTGCTGCAATGCCAGCAGAATTTGCTGTAAAACAAGAGACCTTTTTTTAATGAAAAGATACATAATCCTAGCATTAAAATTTTACCTAGTCCAAGAGTTAAAATCTATTGGAAAACCTCACAAGAGTCAAAACATTTCAATATAGAAAAACAGAAGTCACATGTTAATTGTTACTTTCTCCTGACCCACCATTACTTGTATAACTCTCTATGCTAATATGTGTTCAGTATTATTTTTCCTTTTTTTTTTAAAGAAGATTTTCCATTTCTTAGAGAGCAAAGGTTAATGCCACTTTTCTTCTATCACTGCTCCTCTGGTGAGGAGGTGACAACCACATTGTGATAATGAAGCCCCACATTCAGATTCCAGTATGCACATAAATGGATGGTGATATGGATGTGGGAAGCTGCAGCCTGGAATAAAGCTGAACAGGAATCCTGTTTGTAACAGTGGGAAGGCACACGTGGGAGGAGGAAGGCACACTAACATCCTTCCTAACATCCCAGTACTAGGAAAGGTCAAATGTTGCTCTCCCAAACTCCATGTTAACACACATTGACTTCTCACCGTCTGAGACTTGGGGCTGCCCACCTTGGAGAGCAGGTTTGTGAAGCCCAGAGCTCCTTCCCCCAGCAGGCTGAGTGCTGGGATGTGGGAGGAGCACTGGGCATGGGAATGCTGAGCAGGAACCTCCAGGGGCTGGTCAGGGCTTTTTCTTCATGTGCTCTGTCCTATCTGGTGACTGACTGCTTCCTCCAGTCTTCATCCCAAATCCTCACAGATAGCTGTATTCTGCTCTTCCACTTTCTCACATTTTTTGCCTTCATCTAGTTTAAAACACCTAATCCCCATCTGTTTCAAAAATAAACATTGCTGCAGCTGTTCCCCCTCATGCCAGCCATGCCCCTCTCTGCACTGCAGGAGCTGTAAATGACAGCCCCTGCTGTAAATGACAGCCTCTTTCCTTTGTCAGACTGGTGAATTCTTCACTGAGGCTGTGCCTTTTCACAGGCTCTGGTGCAAAAACCAGCAGAGCCATCACAGGCTTAGCTGGAGCCACACCAAAAGTAAAATCAGTGACTGTATGGAGAGTCTGGTAAGAAGTCAGATGAGGGTTTGACTAATGGTTGCTAGCTTTCCCTTACTACCTTCACAAAGAAAACCCTGCTGGCTAAAGGCAGTGGAAATGTTGGAATATTTTCATTAAGAAAACCATGTTTTAGAAAAGTTAGCTTTTCTAAAAAGGAGAGAAGGCTGGTTGGCAAAGCACACACTAAGCCAAGAGAACAATGCAAGGACATTTCTATATCACACAGCAACAGCTATCTGGTTTTGCTGTTGCTTTCCCACTGGACTCTGTTTGTAATGATGGCTGTCTCTGTCCTTCGCATGTGGTTACTCACCACAGAAATCCTGCATGTGGGAATAG